GCGGACTCAGGCAATCCACTCACCTCAGCCTCCCAAAGGCATGGGATTACAGGCTGAGCCACCGAGCCCGGCTGCTTTGAATGTTTTCTAGCCTAGAATTACTAAGGCCATGCTTGCAGCCCTCAGCTCATGCCTAAGAGCCTTGCAAGGTTTGGGGTTTGTTTTTTTTAACAGGTAACACAATTCAAAAGGTACAAAAGCTGTATACAGTAAAAAGTAAGTCACCCAACACCCAGGCACCCTGTTCCACTCCTTGCAGATACCCGCCATTACCAGTTTCTAATGTACCTCTCCCTAGATGCTCTCTGCCCAGAAGTGTGTATATGATCTTTCTGTGAAAATGTAAATGGTAGCATATTGTATGTACCATTCTGCTCTTTTCTCTTTCCCCTTAACAAGACATTTTGGCACTCCATTACGTCAATAAATACAGAGCTGCTTCTTGTTTTGTTGTTGTTGTTGTTTGTTTGCTTTTGTTTGTTTTGAGCCTGAGTCTCACTCTGTCACCTAGGCTGAAGTACAGTGGCATGATTATGGCCTACCACAGCCTCGATCTCCTGGGCTCAGGTGATCCTCCTGCTTCAGCCTCCCAAGGAGCTGGGACTACCAGTATATGCCACTATACCTGGCTCATTTTGTAAACATTTTATTTTATAGAGACAGGATCTTGCTATGTTACTCAGGCTGGTCTTGAACTCCTGGGCTCAAGCAGTCCTACCTCAGCCTCCCAAAGTGCTGGGATTACAGGCCATAATATGGCCTGCTTCTTGTTTGTTGTTGTTGTTGTTGTTTGTTTGTTTGTTTGTTTTTCCTGAGTCGGAGTCTCACTCTGTCTCCCAAGCTGGAGTGCAGTGGCACATTCATGGCTACCACAGCCTCGACCTGCTGGGCTCAGGCCATCCTTCTGCCTCAACCTTCCAGTAGCTGGAACCACAGGTGCATGCCACCACACCTGGCTTTTTTTATTTTTTATTTTTATTTTTTGATTTATTGTAGAGAGGCGGTCTTGCCAAGTTGCCCAGGCTGGTTTTGAACTCCTGGACTCAGGCAGTCCTCTCACCTCAGCCTCCTAAAGTACTGGGATGACAGGCGTGAGCCAATGCACTAGGCTTGCTTCTTGTTTTTAAGAGCTCTTTAGTATTCCACCAGCTGTACTGTAGTTTATTTACCCAGTCCCTTTTGATAGACACTTGGGTACTTACATTGTTTTGCTGTTATATATAATATCACAACAGTAACTTCTTCACTTCCCCAGTTGCTATTGCTTTAGTTTGTTTATGGTCATATGTAACTTCAAATTTCATACAGTGTTAAAAAGAATGAGAGTTTTGTGTTTAAAAAGGACATGGATTTTAAAAGGTCAGGGGGCACTGCTGAAAACGCCGTCCCGGGAAGGAGTCACACCATCAGAGCTGGCCTTGGTGCAATCATTCCTGCTGATTTGTGCTCGGCCTTGGGCCATCAGCTTGCGCTGGGGGCATGTTAAGAAAGCGTGGTCTGGAGAAGTAGCATTGTGTTCCTGTAAGGATGCTACTGAGGGCTTCAGTCTGCACATGCTATGGAGTCCCTTCTGGGAGCACACAGGAAGAAAGGTGTGCTGCATTTCTATTAGATGGAAGGTGTGAATTCAGTCTCTTTGGCGACTTGCAGCACATAAGTCATTCCGTGGCACACCTTTAGCAAGTCCGTGCACAGGACCTGAGAACACAGCTTCCATGTAAGAACCTTGTTCTTGGTTGTGTCTGATGAATTTCCCCTGCACCCATCCCCTTTGTTCCAATTTTCTCATTTTTTTAAGCTCCTTGGAGCTATTTCTGTTAAATTGCCTTTTGCTACTTGGAGCAAAATAGAGTATAAAATGAGAAATGAATAAAAATATTTCTTTACCTATTTACGCCAGGGTACCTGGCTCATAGGTGTTCAATATATGTTGAATAACTGAGTTTTGCTTAATTGTTTAACAGGATATGAGGAACTTGCGACTTGCTTATAAACAGGAAGAACAGAGTAAACTGGGAATATTTGAAAACCTCAACAAACATGCATTTCCTCTTTCCAATGGGCAAGTAAGTATACAAGAGTAAACCTTTTTTGCATGCATTTGTGGGGCCCCAAAATTGTATGTTTATTTTTTTTTCTGGAGATTTTCTCTCTCTGTTGGTAGATAAAGTTAGAATATTTGAAGTTTGTCAGCTCTATGTGATAATTAAGAAAAGTTGCTGATTTGTTGCTTCAAAATGTATAGATTAAAGTAAGAATCTTAGTTACACTCAGCTCGTATCAGGATGAAAACTTTTAATATTGGGTATATTACATAAAGAAGAAATACTGACATATGTATTTTGTGGTTCCTATATCCAGACACTTTTCGCATTCAACTATAAAGAGAAATTTCCAATTAATGGCTGGAAAGTTTATGACCCAGTATCTGAATATAAGAGACAGGTAAAGTATGCTGCTTATCAAACTGAAAAGACTAGATTGAGTGACTTTTTCTCTTTTGAGATTTTAGAATTGTAGTGGTGGGGAAGAAACGTGTTCTAACAAGTTGCACGTAGGTATAACTTCTAGCTTATGGGTTCTCCATCTTTTGAATGCTCTCTTCTCCCTATGCCAAACCTTTGACCTTGTCACCGTTTGTTCATCCTATTTCCAGAGGGTGAGTGGGACTCAGGCAAGGACAGGGGTTTAAAAACCAAATCTACCAGAAGGTTGTTATTAGATGTGCTGGTAAAGGTTGTGAGTAAGGATCCAAACCACTGACTTGAGTTAGATTTGAAGCACCTGGTGTGATGACATCAGCATGATAGGATGTTCCTGGCTCTGGGGACTCCAGTGCACTGTCAACTTCAAGTCATTCTAGTAAGATCTTGTTTTCATGATGGTTAATCCTTTGTTTCTACCTTATATTTGGTATAACGTATTATCTTACTTATTTTAGACATTTGTAAGAAGTATCTGTGTTTGTAAAGGACTTTCAGGTATATTTTTGAAAATAACACTAAGCTTGTTTTTTATAGAAAATAGGACAAGAAATGTATAGCACTGAGATTCTAGCGTCCAATTTTCATTTTTCAGTATGATGTGGAAATTCTTATGCTGTACTAGATTTTTAGAAATGTCTAGGAAATGGCTTATGTCAAATCAATACATATTTTGACTTTTAAGTGACAATGAACAGCAAAATATAAATGGGCTTTAGTTGAGAATAAGAAATGGATGTGACTCACGCTTAGTACTTTTTCAAAGGGTCAAAACATACTTTTCTCCTCTTCCTCCTTCTCCGACACCCTGCAGGGCTTGCCAAATGAGAGTTGGAAAATATCCAAAATAAACAGCAATTACGAGTTCTGTGACACCTACCCTGCCGTCATTGTTGTGCCAACTAGTGTAAAAGATGATGACCTTTCAAAAGTGGCAGCCTTTCGAGCAAAAGGCAGAGTCCCTGTAAGTAATAAAGATTGACATTTAGGTAAAAGCATATGCTATGTTATCTGATATGGAAGGAATAAAGCCAGAAAAGAATCTAGTGAACAAAATTGGAAAGTAGAAAACTAAGCTTACAAACCTGAACATAGCTTCGATTCTCAAGAAATACCTAATTGTATAAGCAACACTGGCTGTGACTTCCCCTTGTATGATTTCCTGTTACTAAGGAAATATTACTAGGGTGACTAGGTCGTGCTCTCAGAACCATAGAGAATAACAGAGGAGTGGCAAGGACAGGTTAGCATGCTACTGTGCTACCAATTGACGTGGCTGGTTTCCCCAAGCCTTTCTGGAGAAAATGTGTTTCTTCTTAGCTCTGAGTGGGATGCTGGAGCTGCGTGGGAGAGACACTGCTACGAAAGTAACAGCAGCCAGGAGGAAGTGATGATTTGAGCCCCGAGTCTGCATCTGGTCCTGAGTCATTTGGCCACTGGAGGCAAATGGGAAGCTTGGTGGCAGAGTTTTAGATTGTATAAGAGACTGTTATTCACTTTGCCTTCACGCTGCCACATATGGCATTGTTGAAATACAAATAAATTTTTTAAATTAGGAGACAAGGTAAAGCTAGTCAAATTGGGGCTAGATTTTAGTAATAGTTTGATGAGGGATTTGTTTTGCTTTAAAGCATAGACTTTTGGAGGAGGAAGGGGAGTTTTAGAGCTCATCTGGTCAGATTTGTTTCAACCTGACCAAAACATTGAGTCCCATGGCCTGATCAATGCTGTGATTGGCCTGCCCACTCTCACCTTGAGGGAAATATATAGGCGAGACTGCCTGAGAAGGGAACCTGATTTTCCTACCAAATAATTAAAGCATGCATTGCTTTAGGAACTATACTAATATGTGCTGCTTAAAAACACTAGGTGTTGTCATGGATTCATCCAGAAAGTCAGGCAACAATTACCCGTTGCAGCCAGCCACTTGTGGGTCCCAATGATAAACGCTGCAAAGAAGATGAAAAATACTTGCAAACGATAATGGATGCCAACGCACAGTCACATAAGTTGATCATCTTTGATGCTCGACAAAACAGTGTCGCTGATACTAACAAGGTACATTCTTAACATTAAAACATTGGCTATTTTCATATGTGTTGTCTATAAATCATCACACAGTTCGAATAACCTGTTGACTTCCTGATCACCTGAAGATAGAATCTTTGAGAGGACATAACTGTTCCTCACTGGTGTGTGCTCTGCAGGCTGTGTTTCGTGGCTCCTGTGGGTTGGAATCTTGTCTCTTTCATTGCTTTTCCACAATATCCTGTCTGCTGAATCAATTAAGCAAAGATCCAGGAAGAGAATACCTAAAGGATTCAGTATTTTAATTAAATGATCATGGGGTCCTTTGATGTTCTTTTAAGAAATATAGTAGTTACTTGATTAACTCCTATCTGATCTGAAGCTCTTTTAAAATGGCGTTAGCCACTCTTTGTGGCTGTACAAAGTTTCCAGAAATCACATGGAGCACTGGTAGTGTACCTCAGGTGACAATGAGATATGCCACGATTACCTCTGCAAACAGCTCCTGTTTGATCCCCACTAGCTGAGGGGGTAGGAGTCTTTGAATCTAGTGAAAACTATGAGGTCAAGCCTGCAGTACCCGCTATCCAAATGGGAAAGGCTCTGATTGGAGTCATTCCCACAAATGACTTTCCAACAGTGTGTTGCTACAGACAAGTACCTGGGGGCCAGAGGGCTTTGCCCTCGTCTCAAGAAATTTCGGATGTTAGGAAAGTGATGATGGCCCTTACCATTCAGGCCTACTCGTCAAATGCCACTTGGGCAGCACACATCTAATGAGCATCCAGAGACAGACCAGGGAAGGTGCTATCTGCTCAAGGAGCTGAGGGAGCTGGAGAGGAATGGCCAGCCCTGCTTGTGGGTACCATTAGAGAAGGGTTTGCACTGTCAGCAGGCAGCCTGGGGAGAACATTCTAGACAGCACGGGTACCTGTCCAGCAGTGTGACAGGGCTTGTCATTCACAAGAATGGCAAAAGGGGGGGCAGGTGCAGTGGCTCACACCTGTAATCGCAGCACTCTGTGAGGGTGAGGGGAGAGGATGGCTTGAGACCAGCCTAGGCAACATAGCGAGTCCTCGTGTCTACAAAACAAAATTTAAAAATTAGCTGGGCGTGATGGCATATGCCTGTAGTCCCAGCTTCTCAGGAGGCTGAGGCAGAAGGATCGCCTGAGCCCAGGAGGTGGAGGCTGCAGCAAGCTGTGATGGTGCCACTGTACTCCAGCATGGGCAACAGAGAAGACTCCAAGTCAGCGAATAAAAACAACAGCGAGAGGAAGGTATCTGAGGGCATGGCCAGCCCCTTTTCACTGTAGCCCTCAGCAGTGCTGGTGAGTCTGACTTTGCTTCTTTGGTCAGCCTGCTCCTTTTCTTTCATCGGTGATGATTCCATCATGGACAACACCTGCCTACCTGGCCCATCTCACCCTTGGTAGGAGCCATTGCCTTCTACTAGAGAAAGCAAACAAGCCATCAGACACGTGCCAGCCATCTGCCCTCAGGACATGGCTACCTACCGTGTGCTAGACGTTATACTAGGCACTGGAGCTAGTTCCACTTAGTGAGAGAGGCACATGTTGAGCAAGCAGCCACACAAGCTGCCACGTGCTTATCCACTGTGGCATGAAGGAAAATAAATCATGCTCAGAGAGGTGTAGACGAGACCTGGGTATTTGCCGCATGACCCAGGCAGTTACTTCATCTCTGTAGACTATGATTGCCTCGTCTCTAAAATGGGACCAACAGCAGTACCTGCTTCAAGGAAAGGGCGTGAAGGTTAAATGAGGAAGTACTGTGATGGGCCTAGAATGGTGGCCTGTCCCTGAGAAGGGCATTTGGTATTGACCACAAGTGGATGGCTCCATTCTCTTGACTTTCATGACATCACACCTCCTAAGTTTCTCTCGCTCTCCAGCCTGGCCTTCCCGGTCTCCTTCACTGGTTCCTCCTCCTCTTCCTGATCTTCAAGTGGCAGTGCCCCTTGAACTCAGTCTGGGGACCTTGGCCACTCTCCAACTCTACTCTGGGCTTTCCAAGAGTGAGATGGGGAAGGTGGGAGGCTGGCTGTTTGGAGATTATTGCCAAGAGACAGGAGCAGGCTGACGAGACAAACAAAGCCAGACTCCCAGGCACTGCTGCGGGGGACACTGAGGGGGGGGTGACCACACCCCTGGACATCCTTGCCATCTCCTCCAATGCCGTGACTTTAACTACCGTCTGTATGCTGAGTTTGACTTGAGTGTGACGCTGCAGTTTCTTCCCTGCCCTGCTCCCTCCTGAGACTGAGATGAAGTTTCTAGCCCACTTTACAGTTGACACCACCACTTGGCTGTTTCCTGGGTCACAGCCCCTCAGCATATTCATGCGGGCCCTAAAGGCAGTGTGACAGGGTGGCATGACCCTCGACTTTGGAGTCAGCCACACCTGCACTTCCCTCCGAGTTCTGCCACTTGGTGCTCTGTGGCATATCCCAAGCCAATTCACCTCTCTGTGAGATAGGAGCTAATACCAGTGTCTCCTGTCGGAGGTTGTGTGAGGGTTAAAGTGAAGTGAGGAAAATGATGGTAAAGGACTTAGCATGGTGGCAGGAGCATCCTCATGACACAGTACATGATGCCAACGAGCCCGCTCCACCGTGGTCAAGGGGGCTGCGCCTATGTCTGACCTGGAGGACCAATGGTGGTATTAGTTACGGAGATGGGGAAGACCGGGAGGAACAGGGTGAGAGGAAGATGGGGACAGCATTAGTTCCCTGTGAATGCTGCACAAATAACCACAAACTTGGTGGCTTTGACATGAGGAATGTATGCTTACAATTCCAGAGACCAGAAGTCCAAAACCTGGCAGTGCCATGCTCCTTCTAAGGGCTCCAAGAGAGGATCCTTGCCTCTTGCAGCTTCTGGCGGCTGCCCCAGCAATCCTGAGCTTGCAACCACGTCTCTCCACTCTCCACCTCCATCTTCACGTGGCCCTCTCTTCCTGTGTGTTGCCTCCGCTTTTCTCTTCTGAGGATACTTGTGATGACGTTTAGGGCCCACCTGAGATTATGTGAGGTTATTTTTTTATCTCAAGGTCCTTAACTTAATCACATCTGCAAAGACCCTTTTTTCTTTATTTTATTTTATTTTTTTGATTTTATTTTGAGTTGGAGTCTCACTGTTGCTCAGACTGGAGTGCAGTGGCCGCTCCCGGCCACCGCAGCCTCCACCTGCTGGGCTCAGGCGATCCGCCTCTGCCTTCCAAGTAGCTGGAACTACAGGCGTGTGCCACCACGCCCAGCTAATTTTTTGATTAATTGTAGAGATGAGGTCTCGCCAAGTTGACCAGGCGGGTCTCGAACCCATGGGCTCAGGCAATCCTCTCACCTCAGCCTCCGAAAGTGCTGGGATTATAGGCATGAGCCACCACGCCCAGACTGACTCTCATTTCAAATAAGGTCACATCACAATTGCCAGGGATCTGATGTGAATGTCTTTGGTGGGAAGGCTGCATTTCAGCCTTCCGTAGGGAGATAGGGAGGCATCCTCGTCTGTCAGTCCCCCTTGCTCCCCACATCTGTATCATTAGCTACGTCAGACTTTCCACAGGTCTGTGTCCTCCTTGTCACCACTGTATCCCAAGGAATGATGCGATGTGGAAAAGCTATATCCATTGAGGTGATCTGCAGATAGTCAACAGGGCAAGGGCAGGTCATGGTGTTTTATCCCATGCAGAGGAGATAGAAGCAAGACACCAAATTGCATGTCTAGAATGATTTTAACTATGACTGTGGGTGTGTCTGGGAAACAGACCAGGCCGTTATCTGATCTCCACTGGTTCTTCTGTATATATAAGATTATGTCATCTGCCAATTGAGATCACTTGCCTTGTTCCCCTCCACTCTGGATGCCCTTCATATCTTCTCCTTGCCTGATTTCCTGGCAAGGACCTTTCGTCCAGTGTTAAATCACAGTGGTGAAAGCAGGCATCCTTGTCTGGTTCCTCTTCTTAGGGGAAAGCTCTCAGGTTTTCGCTGTTAGCTATGAGATTAGCTGTGGGTTTTTCACACATGCTCTTTATGAAGGTAAAGGAAGTTCTTTTCTATTCCTAGTTTGTTGAGTGTTTTATTATGAAAGGGTGCCAGATTTTGTCAAAGGCCTTTTTGGCATCAATTGAAACAATCATGTGTTTTTTTCCCCTTCATTCTGTTAATGTGGTGTGTTACATTGGCTGGTGTGTGTGTGTGTGTGTTGAACCACTGTCGTGGATTGAATAATGTCTCCTAAACATTTATGTCTACCTGGAACCTCGAAATGTGACCTTGTTTGGAAATAGGGTCTTTGCAGGTATAATTAATTATGAGGTGGTCATACTAGAGTAGGGTGGGCCCTATAGCCAGTGTCTCGTGTCCATATAAGAGGGCCATGTAGAGACACAGACACACATAGAGGGAAGATGACAGTGTGCTGTCAGAGGCAGAGATTCGAGAGAGGCAGTTAGAAGCCGAGGACTGCCAAGGACTGCCAGCAACTCCAGAAGTCAGGAGAAAGACCAGGGCAAATTCTCCCCTACAGCCTCCTGAAGGAGCCAATCCTGTGGTCACCTTGATCTCGGATTTCCAGCCTCCAAAACTGGGAGAGGATGAATTTGTGCTGTTTTAGCCTCCCCTCACCCTGCCTCAGTTTGTGGTCCTTTTTTACCACAGCCTAGGAAGCTAACACGACACCCTTACCTTCCTAGGATAAGTCCCACTCGGTCAGGGTGCATCATCCATTCACTCACTCACTTAAGATGCTGCTGGGTTGGGCTTGCTGGTATTTTCTTGAAGACGTTTGTATCTCTTTTCATAAGGGATGTTGGTGTGTAGTTTTCTTGTGATGTCTTTGTTTAGCTTTGGTATCAGGGCACTACTGGCCTCATGGAATGAATTAGGAAGTAGTCCCCACTTCGAATTTTTAAAGGACCCGTCATCTCTTGCCTGAATTCCAGTAGTAGCCTTGTCATTAGCCTTCTGCCTCACGCCCTGCAAGCCAGTCGCCACACTGGGGCCAGAGCAATCTTCTTTTTAAAGAGACGTTTTTATTTTTGTTGGTATTTTAAATGACAAAATTATATGTGTTTATGGTATACAACATGATATTTTGAAATGTGTATACATTGTGGAATGGCTAACACAAACTAATTGATATATGGATCACCTCACATACCATCTATTGTGGTGATAACTCCTAAAATGATTTTACCCTAAGTAGTTCTCACGTGTCGACAACATGTTATTGACTGCAGTCACCATGTTGTAAAGAGTGGTCTTCCAAGCATACAGCTCCATGCACACCCCTCAGAGCCTGGGGGCAGCGAGGTCCAGATTCCAGAACAGGATCTCTAAAGCCCTCTTCCCACGAGCCCTTTCCTTCCTGTCTCGCCACTTCTCCCAGGCCACATCCCAGCTGGGTGAGGCTCCTTATGGTTCCTTGAGCACATCCCAGTGTCATCTCAGATCTGTTGAAGTTCTACCTCCTAATACCCAGGACTGGGACCTTACTTCACACTAGGGTCTTTGCACATGTAATTAAGTTGGATGAGGTCATATTAGATTAGGGTGGACCCCAGTCCAGTGTGACCCTGTCTTTATAAGAAGAAAAGAGGCTGACACAAAGGGGAGAAGGTCACATGGAGATGGAGGCGGAGATTACAGCGCTGTGTCTCTCATCGAGGAATGCCTGAGGCCACCAGAACCTGGGAGAGCCAAGGAAGGATCCTCCCCTAGAGGCTTCTGTGGGAGCAAGGCCCTGTCAGCACCTTGATTTCTGACTTCCAGCCTTCAGAACTATGAGCGAAGACATTTCCTGTTGTGTGAAGCCACTCAGTGTGTGGTACTTTGTTCCAGCAGCCCTAGGAAACTCACACCCGGATACAGGAGGTTTATTAACTGAGGTGTGTGTTGCTTCTTTAGTGGTCTATATCTGGTAGTGCTAAAAGACTAGAAAAGTTCATTCCAGATGAAGTGATGTGCATCTTTCGTCTTCACAGGCAAAGGGGGGCGGATATGAAAGTGAAAGCGCTTACCCAAATGCAGAACTCGTGTTCCTGGAGATTCACAACATTCACGTGATGAGAGAGTCGCTACGGAAATTAAAAGAGGTCGTGTACCCTTCAATCGACGAGGCGCGGTGGCTGTCCAATGTGGATGGGACACACTGGCTGGAATATATAAGGGTAAAAGGGTCCAGTATTTATATGCTTTCTGGCTAACACTTCTCTACATCTGTGCCATAAACATCTGTATCTCCCAGTGGTTTCTCAGTGCTGCAAGTAAGTGCCTCTTGGCTGTTACATGAGCTGTCTGGTGTCCATGGGCAGCATCAGACTGGGGTCTTGGTGGAGGGCTTATGTGACATAGTACAAAGTGATAATGTTTGCCTCAAGTCAGCTTTTTAAAGAACTTTGTGGCCCGCCAATAAAGGGACCCTACTTAATGCTGCAGGTTTTCTTAGTGTGAGCTAATGTGTCCTAGTGATTCTCGGTTACTATATGACATTCTTGCTTGGTTAATTGACCAGGACTTCCAAAGTTCTCCCCAAAATTATTTGACGCTGTAAATGAAGTGAAACGTAGCTGGGTCTCGTGTGCCTTTTTTTTGAAGATGCTTCTTGCTGGGGCCGTGCGAATTGCTGACAAGATTGAGTCTGGGAAAACATCCGTGGTGGTGCACTGCAGCGATGGTTGGGACCGAACAGCCCAGCTCACGTCTCTGGCTATGCTGATGCTGGACAGCTATTACCGCACTATTAAAGGGTTCGAGGCACTCATAGAAAAGGAGTGGATAAGCTTCGGGCATAGGTTTGCCTTGGTAAGTTGAGACGGGATGGTTGACTGTTTTGTACCATCATATCTGTGTACATGTCATATGTGACACACACAAGCACATGCACACACGTAGGCTTTCTTCTCTGTGTCAAACCTGAATTGCTATAATGGAATACATGGACCTCAGCATTGCATGTTCCTGGTAGGGCATTTTTTTCTGAGTGTAGTTTATGCCTTTTTAAAAAAATTGAAGTTAAATTGATATAACATAGAATTAACCATTTAGAACGCCCCATTTAGTGTCCTTTAGAATATTCACAGTATTGTGTAACCATCACCTCTATCTGGTTTCAAACCATATTCATCACCCAAAAGAAACCCTGTATATAATCAGCAGTCACCCCTCACTTTCCCTTTTCCCTTCACTTTCCTCAGCCCTGCCAACCACGAATCTGCTTCGTGTTTCTATATAAATGTGACTTTTCTATGTATCTCGTGTAAGTGGAATCATACAGTGTTTGTCCTCCCATGACTGGGTTACTTCACTGGGCATAACATTTTCAAGGTGCATTCATGTTGTTATAAATGTCACATTTTCATCCCTTCTTATAGTTGAATAGTGTTTCCTTATGTGTCTGTACCACATTTTATTTATTGATTCATCTGTTGATGGATGCTTGGGTTATATCCACCTCTTGGCTATTGTGAATGTTGTGCTATAAACATTGGTATAAAAGTTTTTTCCATAACAAAGTGCCACAGATTGGGTGGTTTAAACGACAAGGATTTCTTTTTGCACAGTTCTGGAGGCTGGAAGTCCAAAATCAAGTTGCCAGCAGGATGGGTTTTTCTAGAGGTCTCTCTTGTCAGCTTGCAGATGGCCACCCTCTTACCACCTTTTCACATGGTCTTTCCTCTGTGTGTGCAACCCTGCTGTCTCTGTATGTGTCCTAATGTCCTCCTCTCATAAGCCCCATTTTAACTGAATCACGTCTTTAAAAGGTCTGTCTCCAAATATAGTCACACTCCTGAGGTGCTGGGGGTTAGGACTTCAATTTGGGAGAGACTCAGTTCTGCTTTCACACTTGTGGGGTATCTACCTGGTAGTGGAATTGCTGGGTCATGTGGTGGGGTATTCTTGGGCTGCCGTTTGTGTTTTAGTTCAAGTGGCGACTACTTGCTGGCCTGCCCAGGCCATCGAGCTGTTGGGGCTCCATCTGAACTGTGCATCGAGCAGGAGTGCTCTGAAAGTCCCCATCAGACTTGCCATGAAAAGCTGGGGAACAGGTGGCGTGAAGATTCCAGTAGCTCCAGCATGGGGGCATCAAGTTCTAGCTGTGCCCACACTCTCAGGGTGGAGATATTGAAAGAGGCCCTCCAGAGGGAAGAGGCAAGTCAACAGCCTCTGAGCCGCCTGCCCTTTGGGAGCCTCTGGCAGATCCCTAGACACCTGCTTTCCCCTTGCTTGCCTCCTTTCTGAAACAAGGTGGTGTGTGGGGTAAACGACTTCATCTGTATCAGGTGTTGAAGGCAGTGCCTGGCCCATGCGAGGTACTGGGGAAGCGAGTAAGTAGTTTTTTCGTTTTGTTTGAATCGCATTCTGTTTCCCAGGCTGGAGTGCAGTGACACAATAATGGCTTGTCACTGAAGCCTCAACCTCCTGGGCTCAGGCAGTCCTTCTGTAGAGATGAGATCTTGCTATGTCGCCTAGGCTGGTCTGGAACTCCTGGGCTCAAGCAGTCCTCTTGCCTTTGCCGCTCAAAGAGCTTGGATTACAGACGTGAGCCACCACACCCAGCCCCGAGTCAGTTTTAAACATCATCACCAGCTCCTTTGTTTCTTCCTCCCTCAACAAAGGCTGGGCTCAGTAGGGAGAAAAGAGAATATGGAACCTTTCCAAATGTCTGTACAGGCCATCTCTGAAGACTCAGGGGCCATTCTCTTCCACCTTTTCTCCCCAGACTGTACATCCCAGGGGAGAGAAAACTAGCAGGGGTCCTTTACGAGAGGGGCCGTGGGAGAGGCCATCGATTGAGCTAAGGCCGTGGGAGCACGCAGGTTCTGGGCTCACCACACCGTGGCCACAGTGAGCCAGTCAGAGCCTCAGATCCACAACAGTCTCAATTTCCTGAGCACCACTGTGTGGCAGCACTGTTACGTTCCTCATCCTGTTGAATCCTGATGATGAATTCTGTCACTGGCAGATGGGGGAGCTGAGGTGATCCGCCCGAGGTCACTTGGCTAGTTAGGATGGGCTGGCACATAAACAGGGATTTCAAGCCCGCAACCACCCGCCAGCTGGGGCCTCATAAGGTACCTTCCCTGGAGTTCTGTGAATGAGCCATCTGAACCCCCAACTGAGGCTGATTCCTGCCCTTGCCCACCTGCTTCCATCATGGAACTTTCTAATTGTTCTTCCCTCTATCCTGCCTCCATTCTTGCTCACCCATAGACCATTCCCATTGGTATAGAAACATGCTGTTATTCCCTTAAAAAGACGCTTATGACCCCACAACCTCCTCCAGCTGTCACCCCAGTCATCTTTACAAAAAGACTCCTTGTCTGTCTTCTGTGCTCACTGTTAGTTTTCTCTCCTGCCAGTCTGTCTTGAAACCATTTCAGTCAGGCCTCCTCCTCACATCCCCACCCTGCCTGGTCTTGTCACAGTTACCAATGACTGCCACTTTGCCAAGTCCTCCTTTTATGTGACCTGAGCGTTGGATGCTGTTGATTCTTCTCCTTTCGTGGAATCCCTTCATTGGGCATCTTGGTCTCTCTAACCTTTTGAATTTTCTTCTACTTCCAGGTCCTCCCTCATCTCCCCAACCTCTTAATGTTAGAGTGCTCCAGGGCTCAGTTCTTGGATCGGTTTTCTTCTCCCTGTACTTAATCCCTTAGTGACCTCAGTCAGCTCCATGACTGTAAATCCCTGTATTTCTGATCTTCCGTCTGTTCTCCGTTGCCATTGATGCCCCTAGTTCAGGCCTTATCAGCCCCTTAGGCAGTCTCCGAAGTAGCTGTCTCAGTCCATTTGTGTTGTCATAAAGGAATACTTGAGGCAGGTAATTTATACCATCGAAGCTGGACTGGGTAAAAAAAATGTACATATACAAGATGGAGTATTATGTAGCCATCAAGAAGGACAAACATATGGACTTCACAGCAACTTGGAAGGATTTAGAGTCGATCATACTCAGTGATCTATCACAGAAACAAAGAGCAGAGTACCATATGTTCTCACTCATAAGCGGACCTTGAACAATTATAATTCCATAAGAAAGGGATTGGCAGTAGTGGGAAATTGCCAGGGGAGTGGGGGGCAGGATTGGCAGTTGAGGGAAACTGCTATGGGAGGGAGGGGCACACCTCATCAACAAGGGTACCTGCATAATCAACATTTGAATACCTAACCCTGAATTGTGCCCCACATCTTTATAAGAAAAAGAAAAGAGGTCTATTTGGCTCACAATTCTGCAGGCTGTACAAGAAGCATGGCGCTGGCATCTGCTTCTGGTCAGGCCTCAGGAAACTTACAATCATGGCCGAAGGTGAAGGGGAGCTGGATGGGCAGGAAAGGTAGCAGGAGAAAGGAGGTGCAGGTGCTTTATAATACCTAACTCTCGTGGGAACGAATAGAGTGAGGACTCACTTACCCCAGGGATGTGATGAATCTGTTCATGAGGGATCTGCTCCCTTGTCCCAAACATTGGGGATCAAATTTCTTTTTTTCTTTAAACATTTTAAATACTTTGTTTTACTACATTTGTGTGCAGGTATCTTTTTGATAGAGGGATTTGAGTTCTTCAGGGTATATTCCCAGTAGGGAGATTTCAACATGAGGTTTGGGAAGACAAACATCCAAACCACAGCAGCAGCTCTCTGCAGTCCATCCCCCTCTAATCCATCATGTCCACGCAGCCAGATAGAGCATTCCAGAACAGATCTGATGCTTCCCGTGGCCCACGGGATTATGGACACACTCCTCTGTGTGGCACTTAAAACCCTTGGTGAGCTGGTCTGAGTCACCTCTCCAGCCTCTTCTTTCTCCCGCTGCTTATCCCATACCCTGAGCCTCAGCTGGGCCCGGCTACTTATGGCTCCCCTGGTGCCCTCTACCACGTTCCCACTGCTCGTAATCAATTCCTGGCTATCCAGAAAGCAGACACCTCCCTGTCCTTCAAGGGTTATCTCAAACGAGACCTCCATCATGACTATGACTGGTGTGACTTTCCCTTCTCATTCCTTCTCCCTCCCCATGCTAGGATGGCCTTCTTGTTCCTGTGTGCACACTCGGAAGCCCTTGGCATACTTTATTGCACTCGTTATTTGCATGTCTTTTTCTCTCGACTAGACCACAAATGGATTATTCATCCAGCACAAGTACAGTATCCCATTTGACTGGGTCTCCCAGGTGCCTAGCCAAGGACCTGGCCTCTACCAGACACCATGAAAATGCCTGCGGTTCCAAGGGCTGAGCATGGTGCTTTGCACACACATGGAAGTTCAGTGACTTTCTGTTAAGAGAATGACTCCTCAATTGTAAACTGTCAGTGAAAACTGTTCCCTAGGTACCTTAAATAGCATAGTGCAGGTTCTGTGAGATATTTTTTAGAGAAATACAGAAATAAGACAATGCACGTAGCTGCTGTGGAAAACAGTATGGCAGTTCCTCAAAAAATTGCAATAGAAGTACCATCTGACCCAGCAATTCCACTTATGGGTATATACCCCAAAGAGGTGGAAGCAGGGGCTTGAGCAGATATTTGTATGTCAGTATTCACAGCAGGACTATTCACAGTAGCCCAAAGGTGGGAGCAGCCCAAGTGAATTGGCATTCCATTGACAAGTGAATGGATAAACAAAATGTGGCCTATGTATACAGTCATGCATTGTGTAACGGTGGGAATACGTTGTGAGAAATGCTGTCGTCATGGATACATCCTAGGTATACTTACATGTACCTAGATGCCATAGCCTTCCACACACCTAGGTTCTGTGGCACAGCCTAGGTTATAAGCCTGTGTAGCATGTGACTGTGCTGAATACTCTAGGCAGCACCATGATAAGTATTTGTGTATCTAAGCACATCTAAACAGAAAAGGTACAGTGAAAATACGAGGTTATAATCTTATGGAACCACCATTGTATACACAGTCCATTGTTGAGTGAAACATCACTGTGTGGTATGTGATTATGCAATGGCATATTATTCAGTCTTTTAAAAAAGGAAATTCTGATGTACTATAACATGGATGAAACTTGATGACATTATGCTCAGTGAAAAAAGTCAGTCACACAAGGGTAAATATTGTATGTTTCCACTTACACAAAGAACCTGGAATAATCAAATTCATAGAGACAGGAAGTAGAGTGGTCATGGCCAGGGGATAGGAGAGGGGGAACAGGGAGCTAGTGGTAATAGGTACAGAGTTTCAGTTTGGGCAGATGAACATGCTCTAGAGAGGGATGGTGGTGATGGCTGTACAGTAACATAAGAGTGCTTAATGCCACTGACCTGTACACTTAAATATGGCTGGTTGTGGTGGCTTATGCCTGTAATCCTAGCACTTTGGGAGATTGAGGCAGGAGGATCACTTGATCCCAGGAGCTAGAGACCAGCCTGGGCAACATAGTGAGACTTTGTCTCTACAAAAAAATCAAAAAACTATCCAGGTGTGGTGGCATGCACCTGTAGTCTCAGCTACTTGGGAGGCTGAGGTGGAAGTATTGCCTGAGCACAGGAGATTGAGGCTGCAGTGAGCCACGATTGTGCCACTGCATTCCAATGTAGGTGACAGAGTGAGACCCCGACTGAAAAGTAAATAATCTTTTTAAGCAGTTAAGATGGTAAATTTTGTCATATAGATTTTCACAATTGAAATTAGGGGAAAAAAAGAGAGTACACTGCTCCTGTCAAGTGTTAACATTGATTTAGCCGTGTTCTTGTTTTGTGTCTTTTCAGGTGGCAATCTCATAGAGTATTTTTTTGCTCCTTCTATGTGGTGATTGTGTTGTATTTCCACAGTGTTTTCTGTTTCCTCATCATTTTGCCTAATCATCAGATTATCTGAAGCTGCTCTTAGAATGCTCACTCTTTAACTATCTTTTTACTTGTGGCATTTTCAGTGTTTTTGGAAAATCCAGTTTATGTGTCTGAGAATACTGTCTTTTATCTTTTTGCATGGATCTATCAATATCTTATAAAATATCAAAGAATATGAAATATGATACTGGACTGCCTGGAGTGAGGACCCCACCCCATCTCTGAGTCACGTACAGCAGTTAAACTTGTAAATTGTTAATCTTTATTTTGATTTTCAGACTTCCTGACATTTCTGAAAAATGGAGAAAGATATTTTCATATTTGTAGAGAAAATGGCACTCATGGTGTGCTTTAAGAGCTGCTAATGGGTAGCCCCATGTTGACACTATACTGGCCTGGTGGTTGGTCTTGACCTTATCATTTGAACTGAAAAGTTGGCTAGCTAGTTGCTTATAATTTCTTGATATCAACTATACTTCAGCTTATTATACAACATTTATTTACATGTTGATTATAGAAGTAACACAAAAGGATAATATTTATGTTTCCATTTATATGAAAAGCCTAGAATAGTCAAATTCATAGAGACAGAAAACAGTCCAGATTCCCTGGTCGAATCCCATCTACTAGCAGTTCAATCTCACACATTTGATTGTAAAAATAATCAACATGTAAAAATACTGTAAAGTAAACTGAAATTTTGTTTCCTAAACATAATGGAAGTCAATTCAATCTAATGAACATTTTTGAGTGCCTGCTACGTGCCAGGAATTCTGTCAGGCCTGATAAGATATGTTTCTTGCCACCAGATAGTTTATGGTGGCTTTTGAGAGGAGCATAGCATGCATCAGGATGTTTCACCTTTTGTCTCCTTTCAGCGAGTGGGCCATGGTAATGACAACCACGCTGATGCTGACCGATCGCCTATATTTCTGCAGTTTATTGATTGTGTTTGGCAAATGACAAGACAGGTGAGAGAGTTCAAGTGTATTTCTGACCCAATAGTCTTTGCCTTCAGTATATCTTATATGATTAGATCAACTTACATTGCTGCTTCCTTCAAAATGAATGTATGTGCTTAAAACCTGACCCCATCGATTATTTAATACAACTTGACTGAAATTCGCTTAGAAATAGAAGCAGAAAATTAGACACAATCGATTTCACACCAAGGGTTGCTTGTCTCTGTGGATGGTTTTTGTTGATCATCTTGGCCCCCAGCTGTTCAAGCCAGGGCCCACTCCTCAGTAGCTCCTGCTCCTGTTGCTTCCTGCCAGTGGAGGAAGCATGGCCTCCAGCTGAGCAGCACATGGTGTATTGGCCAGACGTTGGAAAAGAGGGTGTGACCGAACTGCTAGCAAATGGGGTTTGACTGGGGAATCCAGAACTCTCCACACTTGGCCCCAGTCCACAGCCTCTCCCACCCCAAGGTCACTGAGGGAACTGAGTATCCGAGAACCAGTGGCAGATGAGAAGGTGCTAGTATTTTGTCATTAGGTGGTCCTTAGTTGCTGAACCCCAACGCGTGGGGCCCAGGTCAGCAAAGGAGCCATGCAGGGATCCCTGAGCTGGTCAGAACCGGTGGCTGCAGTTCAAAGTAGGCCCTAAGGTGTGTGCTGTTTTTTCTCTCGTCTGCAGCATCTAAACTCAGCCTGGGTGTCTTACCTTGGTGATAAGAGATAGTGCCAGGGAAATGGGCCCAGAACCAGAGATGGAAGGAGGAGGCACAAGCAAGCAGTTTCTCAGTGCCTGGTAGAGGGTGGGGCTGTGGGGGAAAGAGTCAGTCAGGAGACTAAGAGCCAGGGTCTGGGCCTTTCCCTCCTAGTCACTTGCCAGGAGCTGTGGCCGTGGCTGCTTCCATCATGGGAAAGAGCACCAGCTAGAAAACTGCTAGTGATCTGCAGGAATTCCGCCAGCGACCACCATGCTGCTAGCTCGATCTCCTGGCAGCCTTTGCCCAGTCACCCTTAGGCCTCTTCAAAGGACATCTGTCTTCCTGCTGCAGAAAGTCTGTGAAATGCCAATCCGGTTTCCCCACTGTGAGCTACTGTGACTCATGGGAGTGAGTGTTGGGGCAGAAAGAAGGTTGACAGCCACCATGCTGCCTCCTCTGTCCTGTGGAGGACCTGGGAGCCTTCTTCCTGTGGGAACTGAGGACAGGCCCAGGTGTGTAGAAAAAGTTCCCCAGGTAATTGGATGCAAAAGTGAGTTTAAGGACCGGTGAACTAGACAAGTGTTCTAAGTATGGACTTGGGAACCTGGCAGAGAGCCCAGTTTTCAGGCCCCACTGCAGACCCACTGGTGCTCTGACAGTGGGGCCAGCACTCTGGTCTCACACACCCTCTGGGGTTTCTGATGTATGCTCAACCAGGAGACCACTGCTGTAGACCAGCATTGCTGGCACCTTAAAGAGCACAGAAATCCCTGGGGTTCTTGTTGAAATGCAGATTCTGGTTCGGTGGGTCTGGGGTGGTGCCTGAGATGCTGCATTTCTGTCTTTGGTTGTTGATGTCAAGTCAGGGTCTCACTCTGTCGCCCAGGCTGGATTGCAGTGGCACAATCATGGCTCACCACAGCCTTGACCTGCTGGGTTCAGGCGATCCTTCTGCTCCAGCCTCCTGAGGAGCTGGAACTACAGGTGTGCATTACCACGCCCAGCTAATTATTATTATTTTTTTTTTTGTAGAGACAAGGCCTCGCTCTGTTGCCCAGGCTGGTCTTGAACTCCTGGGCTCAAGCAATCTTCTTGCCTCAGCCTCCCAAAGTGCTGGGATTACCTGGCCAAGAGATGCTACATTTCTAACGAGCTCCCAGGTGATGCTGCGTGGGCACAGATCACGTTTTGAGTGGCAAGGGTTAGGGTGCATAGACATACCATCAGAAATAAGAAACAGGGGAGAGGGGCCTGAGTAGCCAAAGGAAATTTCCCAGAGACCTCAGGCCCTCACTCAGAAGGTATACTTACTTGTAGATCCAGCTTCAGCAAGCTGATTGGCATGTCCCTTGATCTGATGGCCAGCTCACAGCTGATTAGAGATAGCCAGTTAGAGAGCTGGCCCAGGCAAGAGCGGGTGCTCACAGAGGTAGGCATGCTGATGTACAAGTAAAGGTGAAAGCAAACACATACTCAGAAGACATGGGGGCTGACTGGAAGTCTTACTGTTGTACAGGGCCGAACACTATTGCCATATGTTTGAATGCTAAACCAGTAACAAAATTAAATGATTGTTGCATTCAGACTAAGGCAAGGAGGTATGAAATGCATTGTAGAAAAATTGCATAAGAAGATTGACCCCCCCAAAAAATAATTCCAATGCTTCTAAAGGGATAAGCACCATTTTTGTGACTGTGAGGTAACTTATTCCTCCCAAAGTCCTAGATAAATGTGTGTGTGTGTGTGTGTGTGTGTGTGTGTGTGTGTGTGTATGTTAACATCTCCAAACTGACTTCTATTCCTCATATTGCCTAGTGCCTATTTTCATGTGTAAGCGATATCATTTTTATACTCTTTATTGCACTTTAAGACATTAAAAAACAGGTTTGGATTAGAAGATTTTACCTATGAAGTGTGTGTATAATTAATTTCTTTTAAAATAACATTGTTGAAGCATTAGAAACAGAGACATTAATGATCAGTCTTTAACTGCCAATCAGTTAGCAAGTGAATGAGCTATGTAGCATATTAGTAAAAGATGCATTCATGTAAAAAATTAACTTATTTTTAGGTTGCCTACTGCTACTTGAGTAAGCTAAGTCAGTGTCAAGTTGTCAGAACTAGCAGAATAAAATGAACCAACCTGTATGTGGACAAACTGATGTAAAAGGAACTATGGGAAAAATAATTGAGAGAATCTTTAGAGAAGAGTCCCAAAGACATTCTGTAATAACCATAGTTTAATAGACTCCTTACTCTTTTGGATAGTTTTAATAGTCTTGACATTTTTGTTTTTTAAGAGGCACAGAATTTTCTTCTAGATTACTATCCTTTGGATTTTGGAGACCATTCTTTCTAGATAAATGGTATAGTTTCCATGCAAAGAGACCAAAACAAACTATGAATTATAGAGACTTCATCTTTTATTTGTATTACTCTAGCTGCTACTGTTTTCCCTGATGAGCTGTTTTCTGAGTTAAGTTTAATGCCACAGTGCCCTTTGAGTGTGAATGGCAGTCTTGACCCAACACGAGTAGATAGAGGCTTTGTTTTCCACTTTTCATGGCTGCTGATGGGCTTAGACTGAGCCCCGCTCACTTTGACCTCCCATATCTGGTACCCAGGTGGCCAGAATAAGGCTTGTCATAAGCAGCACCAGAACATACCCACTCAAGCTCCCAGATCTAGAATGCAGACTCAGGGGCTAGGAATGAAGATTCATCATCTTAGTCTGTTCGGGCTACTATACCAAAATACTATGGACTGGGTAGTTTATAAACAACAGAAATTGATTTCTCACAGTTCCGGAAGATGGGAAGTCCAAGATCAAGACACCAGCAGATTCGGCGTCTGCCGAGGGTCTGCTTCCTGATTCACAGATGGTGCCTTCTTGCTATGGCCACACGTGGTGGAAGGGATGAGGGGCGCTCTCTCTCTGGACCTTTTTTTATGAGGACACTAATGTCATTCACAAGGGCTCCACCCTTATGACTTATCACCTCCCAAAGCCCCCTCCTAATACCATCCCCTTGGGGGTTAGAATTTCAACATAGGAATATGGGGGGATAGAAATATTCAGTCCCTAGCACTCATATGTCCTAAAAAGTCAGCAATCTGCCATTTTGTTAGTAGCATTTATTTTTTAAAGTTTAAAAATAAAATATAGGGAAAAAACCCTAGATCATCCATTCCTATTCTTGCTTTAATAAAGTTTCAGCATAAATAAATGCTATATATTTGCTTAAAATTTATAAATTCTGTGGTGCCAATAAACAAACAACATGGGAAAATGACATAGTGTGCTTGGCCTTTTAAAAGATAGCCATAGCCGGGCTCGGTGACTCAGCCTGTAATTCTGCGCTTTGGGAGACAGAGATGAGTGGATTGCCTGCGCCCGCAGGTTTGAGACCTGCCTGGGCAACTTGGCGAGACCTCATCTCTACAACATATCAAAAAATTAGCCGGGTGTGATAGCACGCACCTGTAGTTCCAGCTACTTGGAAGGCTGAGGCGGAAGGATTGCTGGAGCCCAGCAGGTCGAGGCTGCGGTGGCCGGGAGTGGCCACTGCACTCCAGTCTGGGTGACAGAGTGAGACTCCAACTCAAAAAAAAAAAAAAGATAGCCATTTTGAGTGGGGGAATACAACATCAGTAAGGGTACCTGATCTCAAACCAGGCAAAGTGGGGACCAAAGGGAGACCAAAGCTTTACCTGTACGATGACCATTTGTCTACCTAATCCTGAATTGTACCCCACATCTTTAATTTAAAATACGTTTGTTTTTTTTTAAATAGCCATTTGGAATGTGAGAGCATTGTCAGAGTTGCAAGGAGCAATCTTAAAGGATCCAGGAGAGGACTAACCAGTAGCTATCATTAGCAGTTCTGCCAGAGAGATCCCATTGTTGACTTAGTTCATCTAAGAACAAGAATGCTAGTAAGAACAACCAGCTACTTTCCAGAGGTTGCTAAAGAAGTGGTATTCTTGATGGAGCTCTTTAGAAGACAGGTGTGTGTTTCTATGAGCGAAATCCTTAAGATGGAGACAGAGGCCTATCTTAATCCAAACTCTACCTAAAACTGTCATTTTCCCACCAGGCTATTACACCAGCTGGGTTTGGACAGTCCTGGATTGACTATTATTTCTAATTGAAAAGCCTGTTGCTAGTCGAGTAAAGTAGTGGAGCTAAGGTAAAAAACAAACTTGTATATCAGTGATCCTGATCAACTCTCTAGAGCTGTCTGGATATGTCATGATAGTGTGCACACATCACTCTGATTGAAGAATAGGTATTTAAAGTAAATGGACTTAAATAAAAATATGCTGGGAAGTTCTGTTTGGTTTTCTAATTGGTTTTGCTTCATATAGAAAGTAATGGATATTTCACTATGTTTTAAAATTAGAATTCCGGCACAGGGCAGGCACTTAGTATATGCCTACTGCTAGAATAATTGTTATCATTTCCAGATCACGCCCTGCCAGCTACTAGCTAGAACCTGCAGACAATGGTGATAGTCTTCACTGGAATTCTGTACAACCTCATTAAGAATTACCTAGAACAATTAAGACGATTGTGTGCTTTTGTTTCCTTCCTCTGCTAATATGGTGAATTACAATAATTGATTTGGTTTGTAACAAAGAATTTCAAATGTGAAGCCAGCCTTGCATTCCTGAGGTAAAGCCCACTCAGTCATGTTGTATTACCCTAGATTCAACTTGCTCATACACCTTGGTAAGGATTTGGTGGTGTACATTCATGGAGTTGTCTTTGTGGGAAAGTTCTTAATCAGAAATTGTTTATTTTTTTGTTTTTCTGTTTTTGAGTTGGAGTCTCACTCCATCGCCCAGGCTGGAGTGCAGTGGCACACTCACGGCCACCCCAGCGTCGACCTGCTAGGCTCCGGCGATCCTTCCGGCTCAGCCTTCCAAGTAGCCAGAACTACAAGTGCACGCTACCATGCCCGACTAATTTTTGATTTTTATTGTAGAGACGAGACCTCGCCAAGTTGCCCAAGCTGGTTTCGAACCTGCAGGCTCAGGCAATCCACTCTACTCGGCCTCCCAAAGTGCTGGGATTACAGGCTGAGCCACCGAGCCCAGCCAGGAATTGTTTCTTTAAGAGTTGCGGAGCTATTCAGATTTTCTATTTCTTCTTGAGTCACTTAGCGTGTGTTATGACCAGATTCCCCCTTAGCCCGGCCTGGAATGTGCTTGCATGTGGGAAGCTGGGATAGTACCAGGGCTCCCTGATTTGCTTCCCCTCTCTCAGGGTCACAGTCTATGCTGCCTGTTGCCAGTGTCTGAAAACAGTCATTTCCTATATATTATCCAGCTTGCTAGTTGTTTCTGGCAGAAGGGTGAGTCTGGGCTCTGTTCTACTGCCATAGAGAGAAGTGGAAGCTGTATAAGCTTTTTTAGGCATTACAGAGTATAACACATTTTGTTGCTTCTGGTGGTTTCTCAGATTAAGCTTGGACTTGAAACTAATGATGGGAAAATTTTACATGGGCTCCTTTTAATCTCTGCCTATATTTCAAGTTGCAGTTTAGCTGTTTTTCATAAAAGAAATACTACTTTGTTTTAGAAATTGAACTTTAAAGGCTAAATCTTATTTTTCCTCTCCATTTAAGTTTCCTTCAGCATTCGAGTTTAACGAACTGTTCTTGATTACGATTTTGGATCACCTTTATAGCTGTCTGTTTGGAACCTTTTTGTGCAACTGTGAACAGCAGCGAGTCAAAGAGGTAAGTGTGTTATCTCCCTGCCTGCTACCTCCCCTGTTACTTGGGCACCTCTCTCAAGAAGTGTCACTGTAAGAAGGCTGAGTGGAGGGAGGACTCACTGAGGGAGGTCTGGACTCTGGTCCTGCTTCTGACTGCAGGTGCCTTTCCAGGGTTCCTGCAGCCCCACCACGTGTGCCTCACACAAGCCCCTTCCTTTTGGGGTGCAGGGGGCTGGGACCCAGAGCCTATGGCTCTGAGGAGTGGGGTCAGTACTAGACCCTGACCTTCTGACTCCAGGTTCATGTACTTCCAGTGCACTGACTCTAAAATAGTATGATTCTGCTTTTCATTCTCCATGGTGTTGGGCAGGTCATACTTGAAGACCTTGACAAATAAAGTCTGTCAGTGAGCCAGAAACCGCATTCAAGGTAGCAAGCTAAACTGTCTTTTCCCTCAAGCTGGTAAAGAAGCAGCTACCAAGCTTCTCAGAACTCCATGTCACCTCTTCCTTTTTTCCTCAATGTGGGATAATAAAAGAAATTGTCAAGTGAGAAGGCCCTGGAAAAATGCAGTTCGTAGAAAGTCCTACTGTCTGTGCGCCAAGTGCGTTAGGACACTGTTGACTTGAGAGGATATCGTCTGTCAGCAATGCCCCCCTCTGTCTCATAGCAGCCTCCCAGTTGGCCATGCCCCCTTTTCGTGACCCCACCCCCTGCCTCTTGCCTGCCTCACTGGCCTCCCCAGCCCAGTCTTCTCTGGCTGGCTTCCATTTTACCCAGGGTCTAGTTGGAGTTACCTGGGCCCAGTCCCGGGTCCTCTTCTCACTCTGACCCGTCTCCTCTCTCAAGGTGCCTTTGGCCTCAGGGATCTGAATGCCTTTCCTTGCTTCTCCTCTGCTCCTCTGCCTCTAAGTACAAAGCACCACTGGCCATCCAGGTGCTGAGGCCAAATCCATAGGAGTCCCCCTCTGATCCTCCCTTGCCCTCCTCCCAGCTGCCACTACAAGTACTGCTGCCCCCCCATAGATTCTTAATCTGCCACTTAACCACTTTACCCTCCAAGCCTAGCTCCAGCTCCTCTTGTCTCGCATCTGGATTAAGGCAGCGGCCCAGGAATGGGCTTCCCTGCCTCACTTCTAGCTGTCAGCAGTCCATTCTAAACATAGCAACCAGCACAAGTAGCCACTGACTTAAGTCCCATCACGTGCCTCTCCCCACTTCCCACTGCAATTCGGGTAAAATCCACATTCTTTCAGACCCAGTGTGATAGGGCCTTGTTAATTTCTTAATAAAAATAAAAGCAAGCCAGGTGCGGTGACTCATGCCTGTAATCTCAGCATTTTGGGAGGCCAAGGCAGGAGGATCTCTTGAGACCAGGAGATTGAAACCAGCCTAAGCAATATAGCAAGACCTCATTTCTACAAAAAATTTAAAAGTTAGCTGGGCATGGTGGAGTGTGCCTGTAGTCCCAGCTACTCAAGAGGCTGAGAAGGGAGGATCACTGGAGCCCAGGAGTTCGAGGTTACAGTGAGTTATGATCACGCCACTGCACTTCAACCTGAGCGACTGGGTGAGACCTCAACTCAAAAAGAAAAGAAAAGAAAGAAAACTGTGTTTAAAAGAGTGAATTTTTATGATATATGAATTATAGCTCAATAAAGCTGTGTAAAGCAAATGAAACCAGAAACAGAAGAATGAAGTTCATATGTAGAATTTAAACTATGGTTTTATCTTGTTTTGGGGGGTGTAAAATGTATTTTTCTTAAAAGAAAATCAGCTGTCTTGAGATATAGTGTACATAAAGTTCACCCATATAAAGTGTACAATTCAGCGGTTTTATATATTCACATATTATGCAGCCATCACCAGTATCTAATTTCATAAAATATATATCTCCCCTGGAAGAAACACCATCCCCATTAGTCATTACTCTCCCTTCCCCCTACCCCTGGCCCATGGCAACCACCAGTTTCTATCTCTGTGGATCGGCCTGTTCTGCACAATTCATAGACATGGAGTCAAGGAATAGGTGAACTTTTTATGACTTCCTGTCTTCACTTACATCATGCTTTCACTGTCCGTCATGTACCCATACCTCCTTTTGTTGTGGTTGAGCGACATTCCATGATATGACTAGACCGCATTTAGAAATGTGGGTTCTCCCATCTTGGCTCTTACAAAGAATGCTGCTGTGAACACTCTGTACAAGTCTCTGCGTAGACGTGTGTTTTCAGTTCTCCTGCGTATACACCTAGGCGTGGCTTCTGATTGCTCTGTGTTTCACTGACACTTACTATTTTCCTTTTTAAAGAAATTACAGCTACCCTAGTGGGTGGGGAGGTGGCATGTTGTGGTTTTGATATGCATTTCCCTAAGCATCTTTCCATGTGTTTTGTGGCCATTTGTATATCTTCCATGGCGAAAAGTCTTTTCAGTTCCTTTGTCCATTTCTAAGTTGGGTTATTGGTCTGTTTTTTTACTGAGTTGTAAGAGTCCCTTATATATTCTTGTATTACATATACAAGTACCTTATAAGATAGATAATTTGCAAACATTTTCTCCCATCCTGTGGGTTATTTTTTTTTTTTTACTTTCTTGATGGTTTCCTTTGGAGCACAAAAGTCTTTAATTTTGATAAAGTTCAATTTCTATATTTTCGTTGTTGTTGTTGCTTGTGCTTTTGGTATCATTTCTAAGAAACAATTGCTTGACTCAAGGTTGTGAAGATTTGCTTCTGTGTTTTTATCCAAGTGGGATTTTGGAAGTTTTTTTGGTTTGTTTGTCTTTTAAATTTTATTTTTGGTAGACACAAGGTCTCACTGTGTTGCCCAACTTGGTCTCAAACTCCGACAGGTGTGAGCCACTGCACCTGACCTACGAGTTTTATACTTTCAGCTCTTACATCTCGGTCTGTGATCCATTTTGAGTTAATGTTTGTATATGGTGTGAAGGAAGGGTCCAGCGTCATCCTTTTGTGTATTTACTGTCTAGTTGTCCCAGCACCCATTTTTTGGATAGATTATCTTTCCCTCATTAATTTCCTTGCCACACTTATTGAAAATCAGTTGACCATAAATGTGAGAGAACTCATTTCTGGACTCTGTCCTGTTCCCTTGATCTCCATGTCTGTACTTAGGCCAGCACCACTGGTATTGATACCTGTAACTTTGTAGTAAGTTTTGAAAATGGGAAGCATGATTCCTCCTACTTTGTTCTTTTTCAAGATTATTTTAGCTGTTTTGGATCCTTTGAATTGGTGTTGTGTGTTTCTCTTGTAAATACAATATATTAAAAAATGAGATGGCCATAATTGAATGTTCCTGTGTTTATATAGCTTGTAGGATGTCCGCAGCAAAATGGTAGAAAATTCTCTGGGTCTCATCATTTTCTCATTTGACTTTGTCATTGTGCTTGGTCTATTTAATGCTTACCTGCCCCACCATGCCTGTGAATGTGGGTGTTTTTGTTCAGATACGTAATGCAAGTTGTTACAACGTTTCTACCTAGTGTACCCGTAAGTCCCCTACATACAAACGAGTTCCGTTCTGAGAGCATGTTCATTAAGTCCAATTTGTTTGTAAGTTCAATAAAGTTAGCCTAGGTACCCAACTAACACAATCAGCTGTGTAGTACTGAACTGTAATGGGTTTATAATACTTTTCACACAAATAATACATAAAAACAAGCAAAATATAAAGGAAATATTTTTAATCTTACAGTACAGCACATGACATGTATGCCAGACACGTGAACTTACTTACATACACATTCGCATCTTTGAAAGTTCGCAACTCAAAGGTTTGTATGTAGGAACTTACTGTACTGTAAAACTGGGGGACAATGGAATTTAATGATATGTTGACCTCGCTATATAAAGCTGCTCCAGCCTGTCACCATGGCACATTTTCCTCCAGAAAGCCATGAGTCTCCAGTTTGAGGACTCTTAACTGAAAGCTCTACCCACATTCCTCAGTATCAAGAGTCACAAAAGCAAACTTCACACCAGAATTTTAAAAAGCATTTGTTATTGGTAGGCCCTGTCAGCCTGTGGGTTGTTGGAAAGTTCTCATTCTGCTTTCCCATGGACACAGTTGCCAGATTCTACATAACCAGCAATACATTTTTTTTTTTTTTTTGAGCTGGAGTCTCACTCGGTCGCCCAGACTGGAGTGCAGTGGCCGCTCCCGGCCACCGCAGCCTCGACCTGCTGGGCTCCGGCGATCCTTCCGCCTCAGCCTTCCGAGTAGCCAGAATTACAGGCATGCGCTACCACGCCCGGCTGATTTTTTTTTTTTATTTATTGTAGAGATGAGGTCTTGCTGCCCAGGCGGGTCTCGAACTCGCGGGCTCAGGCAATCCACTCACCTCAGCCTCCCAAAGGCACGGGATTACAGGCTGAGCCACCGAGCCTGGCTCAGCAATACATTTTTCTAGGACAGCAGCCAGTGTGTGTTTTCTTTCTTTCTTTCTTTCTTTTTTGAGTTGGAGTCTCACTCTGTCATGCAGCCTCGACCTGCTGTGCTCTGACGATCCTCCCGCCATAGCCTTCCAAGTAGCTGGAACTACAGGCGTGCGCTACCACGCCCGGCTGATTCTTTTAAAGTTTATTGTAGAGATGAGGTCTCACCAAGTTGCCCAGGCAGGTCTTGAACCCGCGGGCTCAGGCAATCCACTCACCTCAGCCTCCCAAAGTGCAGGATTATGGGCTGAGCCACCGAGTCCGGCTCAGTGTGTGTTTTCATGTCATCCCCCCATGAGACTAAGCATGGGGGAAGACAAGGGTGGGACTTAGTAAGTGTTCATGAACTTTTCAGTATTTGAATTCACTTCATTTATTATTCAAGTGTTTTTCTCTATGTAATGTCAGTCTTGAGAATATGAAGAAAAGTTTATCTTAAATGTGTCCCTTTTTGTTTGACAGGATTTATATACAAAGACTATATCTTTATGGTCATATATCAATAGCCAGCTGGATGAGTTTTCTAATCCCTTCTTTGTGAATTATGAAAACCATGTGCTATACCCTGTTGCTAGTCTGAGTCATTTGGAATTATGGGTAAACTATTACGTACGATGGAATCCACGGATGAGACCTCAGGTATCTTTTTGTTTTTTCTTCTTTTTCTTAAAAGTATGTCTTTCTTTCCAAGGAAAGATGGTGGTATAGTAATATGTACATGGTAGGTATTATCACAGTATACGGTCCTCTGCTGTCATGTGTCAGGGTTCGATCCTTTGCATTCATAGTCTAGCAGGTTCCTCCTACATACCAACCCAGATGCTATCCGCTGTGTTAGAGTTAAAATCCTTGGTGCCTCTGTCTTCTGATGAAGGTGCACACGGTGGTGTCTGTTCCTTCACCTGTAGGTATTGTGGGCGGGACAGTAGCTATTCCCCCTGTTATCCACGAAAAGGCGGCAGAAAGGCAGATGGAAAGTGTGTCGGCAAGAGGGCATGTGCTGAGCACAGAACAGGCGCTTTTCTGAGATTGAAAAGAGTTAGAAAATGGTGCACAACAGGAGCCAGCCAGCCAAGCCTGTGTTTACCCTTGCTGTCCAGTGGGCGGGCCTGGGTGTGGGGTTCTGAAGTGCCCCCCGTCCTCTGCTGTGCCATGGGTTTTGACACGGTCCTATTTCTCACTCCCGATCTCCAGCGCGTGGGAGGCCAGGGCATGGTTGGCTCTGGGAGGGCAGAGGACAGGTGGAGGCAGCTGTCACCTCCGTGCACAGAGAGCTTTCTGCGGAGGTTTTGTCTTTTCTTTTTTGAAGTTGATTACGCTCTGAATTAAATGGGCAGTCCACCAGGAGCATGGTGCCAGAGTACTGTTGAGCAATTCTTCTCCCGGCATCCTAACCATTTCCATTTCCTCTCCAAGACCACTAGCCATGGGGAAGTCCTTGCTGCCATGTTCTTCCCGTGGCCCAGCCCTAGAACCTGAAGGACACGTCACTGTTACTGTCCCACCTTCCTAGCTGGACAGCACCCGCACTTGTAGCCTCAGCTCCAGGCCCCAGCTGATGTGTGTCCCGCTGTTGCTGGCCATCACCTGCCTCCTCTTTCCCAGACTGGTTCCTTCTTCCTTCCATCTGTCTCATGCTGCTTCCGCCGCAAAAATGCTTTTCTCCTCTATGCCCTAAGCCGGCCCTGCCAACCTTAGGGCCTCAGGAGTATTTTCCGGAACACTAGAACAGTGTTCGCTCAGCCCAGTACCTGTCCTCCTCTCCAAGTTGGTGGCTCCATATCCCACAGATGGCTCCTTAAACCTCCCCCACCCCAGACTCAGGACATGCTGTCCCTAGCCTTGGCCTCTCACTGTGCCGGGAGCTGGTGCCATGGGGACTGTCCCTGGAAATCTTCCTTAACTCAGTGGGTTTGGAAAGTTCCTTTCCTTTCGGTATTGGAGTTGCAGCTTCTGGTGTGTGTGTAGCGGGTGGTGTTGAGGTCTCACTCAGTCGCTCAGGCTCAAGTGCAGTTGCCCAATCACTGCTTGCTACAGAGAGTACAGGGTCTTTGGTCACTTTCCCACTGATGCAAATATGTTGAATCAAGGGGATCTGAATGCCAAGCTCACCAGAGCACAGCTCTCAATTCCAAATGGCTTCCAGTTTTAGCATGTGTCTTAAGCCGTGAAAATGTTCATTTTCAGAGCTGTAAAATGTTTACTGAAGAGTATCTGAAGTGGGCCGGCACCAGACCAGCCCTTTGCCCTAGGAAAACAATTAGTTTACATTGGCCAAGATCTTGGTCAGCTGTCAGTGTTTTACATATAGGGCTTCAATGCAGCCATTATTAACACATTTCAAATGTTCTGTGCTTATGTCTATACCACGAAGACTGATCCCATTACCCGTGTGGCAGCACAGAAAGCAGCTAGTGGCTCCTTGCACTGCATTTGAAACGTGCATCACAGAAGCTGGACCCTCAGCTGGGTGCGGTGGCTCACGCCTATAATCTTATAATCCTAGCACTTTGGGAAGCTGAGGCAGGAGGACTACTTGAGGCCAGGAGTTCAAGACCAGCCTCGGCAACATAACAAGATCTTGTCTCTACAAAAAAATCAAAATGTTAGCTGGGTGCGGTGTTGGCACACCTGTAGTCCCAGCTACTCAGGAGGCTGAGGTGGAAGGATTTTTTCTTTACTGAGGAACATCTGAAGTGGGCAGGCATCTTTGCCCTAGGAAAACAGTCAGCTCACATTTGTCAAGTTCTTGGTCAGCGTTTTATATATAGGGTTTGACATATAGGCTTCAATGTAGCCATTACTGACTCATTTGGAAAGTTCTGTGTTTAGGCCCACACCATGAGGACCGATCCCATTGCCTGTGTGCCCCCGACAGAGCACTCCGGTGTTAGTTAGCAGTTACACGTGGCCTCCAAAAAGCCCCCTCATGAGCACGGCCCTCCGGTGCTTTCCTCTCCCTCTTCTGAGCACCCTACCTGCCTACGCCATGTGTTTACTGGCCGAAACAGTGCACTTTGCCAACGAGAGCCAGGGCACTGCTAGTTATTTGTCGCCACTCGATAACACAACTATCCTTTCACTTGCCCACAGCCTCTCAGACCACAAGCTTGAAACTGCAGGGCCCGCAGCACCCAGCGTGGCGTGCAGCACTAGCAGGAGGCTCGGTGGATGTGGCCAGGTGGAGGATGAGGAGGTGCCATCTTCGCTCCGGGCCGAGGCCAGGCTGTCTTGCACAGCGGCTCCTCCACAGCCCTGAGTCTTGTGTGTGCCCCCTCCAGCTAACGGAGGACTCGAGCCCACCCATGCTAGACATTTCCTGTCCCCACCCGCCTCTCCCTCAAGCCTTCCCTCCACACTCAGACCTCCCGGCTGTTGGGAAAGCCTCCTGTCAAGTCTCCCTGCCTCATCTCCCTCCAGACCATGCTCCAACTTGTTGCCAGAGAGGCCTTTCTCTCCCGTCTGAGTAACAGCCCCGCACTGCCCCCGTGGCTGCCTGGGGCCCCAGCTCCCCCACCCTCTGCACCCCGGCCACCACCTGAGCTCCTGCTGCCGCACTGGCTTTCTTTTATTAGCATCACTCCCTTGAGACCGTGCGCTCTGGAAGGCCAGGCCCCTGCCATGACGACAGCTGGTTTCGATGGACTCTTCCCCCAGATGAGAACAGAGTTGGAAGGAGAACAGTCTCTGCAATGGCATGCGTGCCCAGAAACCAGCCGTGTGCCCGAGGGCTGCCAGTCCCACGAATGTCTGTCCTGGGTTTCAGGCAACGATGTCTACCTGCAGGGACCCGTTGGCCTTTCTCTGGAGTCCAGGTTCCAGAAGTGCCCTCCCTTCTGACCTCAGCTGCTCGGTTTGAGATGCTAAATGCGGGCTCCTGGAGCACGCTGTCCAGGGCCCAGAGTCAGCCCCCCTCCCGGTACCTTCTGCCTCACCCTCCTGCATTTCTGTCTGATTGAGGCACCTTGCCGAGTTCTTTCCTGGGTGGCTTCTGCGTCATCTGCTTTAGCAACAGGGAAGATGAACCAGAGTGTTGGGAAGTCACTGTTTTATTCAACTCATGTCGAAAGAGTCACCAAGTAGTATTCTTGGTGGCTCAAAGAGCAGGTGGTTGGTGGGGTGTCTCATGTGAGTGGGAAGCCTGACAGAACCGCTACTTGAACTAAATGCCCTTGGCTAAACGGGGCTTCCCAGTTACTGCAGGACACTCCCTCAGCACTCCCCTCTGCACGGCAGGTTGCAGGGGTGAAGAAATGGCGAGCAGCACGGAGGGCAGAGTGGAGTCTGGGAGAGGAGCTCCCTGGGCTCGGGTCCCCTCCTGCTGTGCCGGCTCCCTCTGCTGGGGCCACTGGCCCAGCCACACAGCACCCCCACCCCCGCCTCATGCTTTGTGAGGGCAGGGACCGGGTCTTTCTGAGAACCTCTAATAGCAGATCTGTTCTCAGACACAGTCAGATCCTGACCCGGGTAAGCAGTCAGCTGTGACATGGTGAGGACGATAATGGTGGTGGCGGCGGAAACCTTAGCGATAGCTTTAACTCACAGCCCTCTTGCATGCCACTGGGAACTGTACACACGTGACCGCAGTTAATGCTCACAGCAATCCCATGACGCAGAGGAAAAAGGAAGGGTCAGAGAAGCCATAGCTTGGCTGAGATCCTGCGGCCTGGTGTGTGCACTTGTGGAAGGAGGCCCCCGACCAGGGCCAAATCTCGTCTCCCACTGGCAGTGACTTGGTCAGGGCACAGTCCTGAGCCTCACTGGGACCCCACTGGGTTGCTGAGTATAACATGAATCCACACCAAGCTCCTGACACTGCTCAGAGGGTGGGAGGCAGGTGGGCCGGCGTTGTTTGTTCATCTGCTGAACTGCACTGAAGGGAGCTGAGGGTCTGTGGGCCACGGCTTTCCATCCTAAACACAGAAGGCATGTGGCAGGCACCTCCTCGGGACTGGGCACATGGACTGTTGGGGCACGGGCTGGGCCCTGGTGCCATTGCAGACTAGAGAGGCAGGTGGGAGTTTGCACTTCTTCCCAGGCGTTGTGGGAACCATCCCGGGATTTGCATGATGAGGCCCGGTGTATGTTCTAGAACGCTCACTCTGGCAGCACCAAGATGGGTGGAATGGGGGTGGGGTGTGCACTGAAGACTGCGGCAGAGAGGTCAGCAGTCAGGTAGATGTGGGTGTCCAGTGATGGGGCAGGGAAGCGAGAGCAGGTAGCACAGGGAGGAAAGGCGCAGGAGAGGACGGCAGCAGGAAGGGGGCACCCTGGCGTCCCTTGAGGTGTGGCTGGGCGAGGAGGGCCAGCGGGCCGCCCGTCTCTTTGGGACCCCCTTGGCTGTCTCATACACGCTGGCACCCGCGGGGCAAACATGACTGGCCCTGGACAGGCGTGTTCTCTAGCTTGGTCTTGTATCTAAGGCTCAGACTTTCCTGTTCCTTCAGGCATGCCCTTGGTTCGTTGCAAATAAAAATAACGTGAGGAAAACACACAGAAAGCTGCGTGGAGATATGCTGGGGAGCACGGGCACGGCGCTGGCGCGGGCCTTAGCAGTGTACCCAGGGGCATGCCGCTGTGTGCCCCTGCCGAAGTGCTCTCTGAGGGAAAAGCCCGTCTCGGCTTTCCCGGTCCCTAGTAGGTGCTGAGGACTTGTTGGCCGAGTGGGCTGGGTTCTGAGACCGTTAAATAGTGGGATGGGGTGTCCCTTCTGTCCAGGAAAACGCTTCTGGTTTCTTCGCGGACGCCCCCTCAGTACATGGGTTTGAAAGAGAAAAGCTGATCCCGGCGAGGCCTCACGGTGGTGCTGGGCGGGCAGGGAGGGGCTGGCTTAACGGAAGTATTCTCAGTCAGCAAAGCTGTTTCGACCAGTGCGGAAGCACACCTCACGAATTAATTGCTAATGGGGATGCTGGGAGGGGTCTCCACGTGCGCATCTGTGACGGTCGAGGATGCTGCACCCACACCCTGGGCTGACTGGCCGTGTGTGGTTTCACCTGAGCCGCTCACCACCTGGGCAGCTGCGAGAGCCAGGCAAGGTGGGCAGAGGGCTAGACCTCCCCTCCGTGCCCACGGAAGCTCGTGGGGCCGGGGCCACTGTCCACTTGGTGAGAGGTCGGTCGGTGGCATCTGGGACTGGGGCACACAGGTGTCTTGGGGGCAAGCCAGTCCCGAGGCTAAGGCGGCGTCGATGTGGAGCGACCACGTAGGAGCCGGCCGCGCTCCAAGGACGGCCGATAACGCCGCCTTCTCTCCCACCCGCCAGATGCCCATTCACCAGAATCTCAAGGAGCTGCTGGCCGTCAGGGCGGAGCTGCAGAAGCGTGTGGAGGACCTGCAGCGGGAGGCGGCTGCACGCGCAGTCTCATCATCGTCCGAGCGGGGCTCCTCGCCTTCCCACTCTGCCACCCCCGTCCACACCTCGGTCTGACGGGCAAGACCCCCGGCTCGGGCCATCCTGCTGCTCCACGGGGACCTGGCGGTCGCTGTCATGGCTGCAGCTCGTGATCTTGTCTGTTAGGATTAGGCCCCGGGACCATTCGTGTGGCCAGGTGACAGCCCTCGCTGTTGCAAGCACTTTGTTTTGTGACCAGCCCGCGATCCTCCCGCCCGCGGACTCACCGGGGAGCCGTCCATCCCGCCCACCCTGTGAACCGGCTTCCCAGCGTCCAGGCAGCGGGTGAGACTCGAGGGAATGCGGTCCAGTACTTAGCTTCAAGAAAGCCTCCCTTCAAACACACCGTCACAGAGGGGCCACAGGCCGGCCCGGGGCTCCTTCGGCTCCGCCACGACTGGAAAACCCCTGTCAAGTGAAACATCTGGGGAGAAGACAGCCCACAGCCATCCGCCCACGTGAGGCCCCCCGAAACAGTTAGTCGTGTACATACAAGGTATTTTTAGAGAAGAGACATGGCTTTATTTTCCTACTCGTTTTTTATGTTAACGAGCGTCCCCGGGGAGGGGCCGCCTCGCTGCACCGTGGGGGAAACGCCCTCCCGGCCCACCTCATCCAGTCCTCCGTGGCACATTTGAGAGGAGACGAGCGTGGCAGTTCAGGGCGGTGGTGAGGCCTCGCCTGACTCTGGTACTTGCCTTCCGGGGCAGCCGGGTCCCTTGCTGGGAATGTAGTCCCCGTGCCAACTGGCCGGATGTCGTCCTCCGGCCCTGCCCGGGGTAAACTGAGGCCGCGGCGGCTGTGCACAGGGACGGCCTCCTTGACAGCTCCTTCAAGGGGCACTGCTGTCTAGCCCTCCTGGGCTGTGTGACCCTGCCTCCTACCCTCCCTTCATAGCGCCGCCTGCTCTCGCCCGTGCTCTGCCTGTGCAAAATAGCGCCTTGTTTTGTCTGGATCCCTTCAGCTCGGGATACGCACTTGACTGCCCACCGATATGTGAAAGCGGTCGTTGTGCGTGGCTCCAGTTTGGGGGAGCATAGGATGCCCCTTCCTTGATTTTCCCTTCCCAGCCGGCTGGTCAGGCCTCTCCTACCGCTCCCGCCCCTCCCTCTGGCCTGATAGGAACGAGTCTACCACCACCCGGGGCTGTCCCCTCCAGCACTACAGCTCTGAGCTGTGACAGGCTGTGGAACAAGCGTTGCACGCGGGAGCCACCCTCTCCCTGATGCTGTGCCCATCGATGCAGGTTCCCAGGGTCCCCGTGGGCTGCAGGACTCGAGCTCACCTTGGGAGTCCAAAATGGCCACAGCAGGGCCTGGAGCCAGACCCCTCCCCCACCGCTGCAGTGGCGCCCAGGCTCCCCGCCCCACCCCAGTGTGACTGCATGACAGCCATAGCTGGTTGGTTGCAAGTTACCGGATTGTACGTAAAGTCCTACATATTGACCTTATTTTTGAAAATATTAAGGTTTTCTACAGTTAAACACATAGAGAATAGAGGCTTTTTAAAACTCGGAACCTTCTGAGTCTTATAGAAAATTATCCTTCTGCAAGATACCAGAAAGACTGATTACAAGTACATTTGATAACCTAAAATCAATTTTCCATTTCTACCATCTGGAGGATTTGTCTCGAAACTGTAGTTTAATCGACATTAGCTTTCGATTTATGTTCCTAACATATCTGAGTGCTTATTTCTGAATGAATAAAGTGGATTCTTCATTGACACACTGATTTTTTTTAGTGGAGACATTTCCCATTTTCCACCCAGAAATATAATTTAATCCTCCAGCTGACTAGGACTATTAAACGTAGTGTGGACCGGGTGATGCTCTGGACGGAAGCCGAGGGGCAAGTTCCTCCCCTAGTGGGAGCAGGGACTCCGCCTCGGGCTCCCTAGACGCCTCGTGGTTTTAAAGAAGCACAAGCAATCATTTTCCTCCGTATGTTCCTAGCACAGAACTGTTTCTAAAACAACTTGAAGTATAGTTTTGTTATCTAAGCAAATTGTTTTCGTTTACTTAAGTGTACTAGAATGCAAAACCTTTTATGGTTCAGGTTTTTAAAAACTGGCACAGTATTTGTCTCATTTGATGCACTGCGTTTCAATCTGTAATTAAAATGATAATATGTTTGCTCCCTGGTCTTTTTTGTTGTTTTGTTTTTCTTTCTAAGTATTTCAATCGACTTTTCCCTTGAGGGAAATGAGTAATAAAATAGCATGTAGTGCATATTTACTATGTGCCAAGCACAGTTAATATACGTAAAATGTCTTGATGTGACTTAATTCATTTACTGAATCAAATTAATTAGTCAAGAGTCTTAAGTGTTCTGGCTGAAACGGGTACGTACTTGATGTTACAGTTGCTGTGCCCCTTGACTGTCACCTCGAGGACATATCTGGAGACACCGGTGAGTTGGGGCAGCGAGTCCCCATGCAGATGGAGTGCTCTCCAAGGCCTGAGACTGTTCCCTCCTCCCAGGGGGACAAGGCCTGGATGCAATCGCACCATCCCCAGCGTGTCACCCTTCTTAGAAGAGCCTGGGGTCCCTGCCCCTCTTCGTGCACATCACTGCTGAGGGAGCCAGAGAGCCCAGTGCTAGGCCCAAAGGCTGCCTGGGGGCCACCCCCCTTAGACCAGAGTGGCCTTCAGTTTGAGGACTCAGTGCCTCAGCAAGAAATGCAACTGACCTCCACGTGAAAACCCAGGGCCTGTGGCATCTCGTTCATGGTGGCATGCCCGGCTGTCAGTTTCCAAACCAAGCTGCCAGCTGCCGACAAGGACACAGCGTCCCAAACAGCAACTCTCCACAGGGCTGCAACCAGTGACAGGGCGCAGGGCCCCTTTGGCTGAAACAACTGCCTGGAGCTAGGAGCTCTACTGCCTTCTGTCCAACACCCCTCCCCTCACCCCAGAAGTCGCATCCCGGGGCCCTGTTCCTGTCCCTGTCCCCCCCCAGCCCCAGGACATCGGCCTGTCATTCCACGCCCCTGGCCACAGCTGCTTGCACAATGAGGGGGCCCACCCCCAAGCCCTGACACTAAGCGTTGAGGGGTGAAGGCAAGAGAAATACCTTTGGCTGGGGACAAGGGTCGAAGTCGGCTCCACATCCTAAATGACTTGAGGGGAACAAAACTGCATCACTTGCCAAAGCAAGTGCCTTAATGCCATCAGAAGACAAGGATCCGGTAGGCGCCATTTTGTTTAATGCAAACATTAGACAGTTTACAATTCACACCTGGACACAAGCACATGAACAGATGCACAGGGGATTCTGAGCTCAGCCTCCATTTCTTCCTCAGCACTGGCACTGTGACCCCCCCAGCCCTTGCGGCTGAGCGAGCTCGGCACTGGCACCATTCTAGAGCCTTCCCTCTGGGCCCCATCCCGGAGGGGGCCCTGCCCCACGAAGCCACTGCCTTGGCTTTTCTTGAGCTGTGACGTCATCCACCACATGCTTAGAGTTGGTTACAAGCTTCCTCTACCAACTCGAACTGCTATTGGCCATCTTCCATCTGTCCTTCTAGCCCACTCTATCTCCCCTGGGACAGGGCCAGGGCGGGCCACCACGACCTTCAGATACTCAGATGGCCGCAGGTATGAGAGTCACCGGGCTCTGCAGACGACAGTGCCGAGCCAGTGTGAGATGCCTGCGCGAAGGCCAGCCCCTGCGCTGGGAGCTTTGCCACAGGGAGGCCGAGGGCTCTTCCGGGCACACCTGTCACCAGGTGCCACCGCCTGCAGGCCTGGGTGCCCAGCTCTGGCCTTGTGTGAAGGCACCCAGGAAGCCAAGGGCGAGCAAATCGCGGCTCAACTGCAGGGCTGCTGTGAACACGGGTTCACAAGAGAGCGTTTCTTTCACATCACAGCCATAGGGTTTGCCATCAGATAGGTTTCGTCATAAAGGTCAGAGAGACAACCCCTCATGCCCAGAGGTCATGCTGTCCAGGTGGCAATGGGCCATGGGTGCAAAGCCCTGCAAGCAACACCTCCCTTAATAGCTACTTTGCCGAGGCTTGGGGAGCCTCCCGAGGTCAGGCTGAGGTTTCCCTCCCAGGTACCACGAAGAGGCTGCGCCCCCAGGCCCCTTCAGCCATACAGTGCTCTGTGTGTGCGGGATTAAGGGCTGAGCAAGAGAAGGGACGTTGTGGCCTCAGCTCAGTACCCTGCACCTCAATGTGTCTGCAAACAACGAAAACACGTGAGGCACCTCTAGAGAGCACGTGGGGGCCGCGGGTTCCAGCAGTTTCCTTAAGGAAGTGGAGTGACCTCGTCCCAGCCCTAGGCAGCCTGTGGGGTGCGTGGGGCTGTCGTGCAGGCCAAAAGAGGCCTGTGAGTCACCCGCCTGTCTGATGCCTCGTATTCTGCTTTCAGAAGTGCTTTTTTGATGTGGCCAACTGATCGGCAGTAGACAGGGGCCCCGGGCCCCGGACCCCAGCTCGGCCTCCGACAGCAGAGCGTGCTGGGACAGAACCACTCGCGGGCCAAAGGAACATTCCAGGAAGCCAGCTCTGCTCCAGCCCACGCCAGGCAACTCCGGGCCAGGTGAGGGGCCATCGTTGGGTTTTCCATGTTTGTCACGGCAGGCACAGACCCCCCTCCACTCACTCTTCATGGGAACAGATAGGTAGGCTGACCAGAGCTGCAGTCAGGTGTGTCCCCCGCAAATCACACAA